ATTCTTCATCATTATCACGTCTACTCCTCATCATCATGTTTATTCTTCATCATCATTATCACGTCTACTCCTCATCATCATGTTTATTCTTCATCATCATTATCACGTCTACTCCTCATCATCATGTTTATTCTTCATCATCATTATCACGTCTACTCCTCATCATCACGTTTATTCATTTTAATGCATTAGAATTATTTTGAAAATAATTTATCATGTTAGATTTTATATGATTACATACCAATATTATTACGTAATTTGATGTCTACGTATGATGACATTTTGCGTTTTTTTTTTGCTTTTTCATGTGTACTTTATTTAAACGTTACTGAAAATTGTAAACAACATTTTAAAGATTGCATATAATATGAAATCACCAGCTTTTTTGCATATTTTAAAATAAGGCTGAAGGGAAAAGATGAGAGGAAAAAAAAACTATCAAAGGAAACGATAAATTGGAAGGATGACGCAGAAAAAAGATAGGATGAAATGAAATGAAATCGACGAAACGAATCAACTATGTCTATGTTCCCGTCTTTCTTTCCTCTTCGTCAAGCAACACACAAGAGACCTATAGTCAATCTACTTACTAGGCTCATTGCAAAGCATTGTGAGCAAGGATGTCTTTGGCCATTGGTGACAATCAGCGAACTATTTCGTTATTAGTAAGCATTTCGTAAAAGCTAGAGTGTAGCAGAGAATTTAGGAATAAAATGAGGAAAATGAAATAAGTTTGTGATTGTTCGTGATAGTCATAAAGTCAACTTCTTTTCTTTCTTCACTTCCTTCCATTCTTTATCCAATTTTTTTTGTTTTTTTTTTTTTTAAATATTTTTGAATATGGAAATTATCCGTTCGCCACAGTATAATTTGAAGTAATGTTGTTGTGGTCATTTTTGCCACAGTATAATTTGAAGTAATGTCGTTATGGTCATTTTTGTTTTTATTATTGTTGTTTGTTACTACTACTGCTATTACTATCATTTGATAATATCTTGAATGATATAGAAATAACATGTGATATTTTATGTTTCTTGATGAATCTTCGATGTTGTATCACTGATTTCTATAAATCATTGATATAGATATCAATCAATTAATCACCAATATTCTTATCACTGATCATCTTTTCCTTACTTAAAACAGTTAACTGAGGAAATTGTGCTACTTCATCATTGCATCCAGTAAAAACAGGATTGTTAGTTTAGCTAATCAAGCTTCATAGCTTCCATCAAATTCATCCTTGACATATTTGAAATATAGGAAAAAACGATGAGATAGTATTGGATGAGTGATATAAACAACAACCGGAATAAAGATCCATATCGTCAAAGTGTAAGCTTGTCAACAAAATTTTCGTCATTTTGTTTGCATCGTTTAAAAGTCCAAAATGCGCTTTTAACGTGAGTAAACAAAATTTTTTTTAATATTTAGTCAAAAATTTCCATCTGCATATATTGCGAAAATAACACAAATGTTTGTTTAGATACAAATAAATTTGATAGTAAAATATGGAAATTGGCATTACTTAACGTGACCTCAAGTGACCTCAAGCAGTCATTTCCTATTATCTGTTGAAATGTTATGTAAAAAAAAAGTCAAATAATATTTTGCCATATATTTTCAAGCAAAAAAAAATTCATTTCTAAATTTGCCTTTTCTTTTTGTAAAATTTAAGAAGGAAAAAAAATTAGACTTTACAAATTGAAAATTGTGAAGGATTTTGAAGAAAATGCGACCATCAAACTGATTTTATAACTATTCTATCCTCATCTATTTGCTTGGCCAAATATGCAAAACGAATCATATCAAAATAAGGATATTTATGAATCATCGGTTCTTTTAGCCTCTTAGGGCCTATAAACCTCTAAAAGGTTGGGCCTAAAGCCAACTGCTCACAAATATCCTTTTCTACCATTTGCCATCACTCTTCATATCTTCTATGCCCATTGCAATTTACAATGGTAATCATTCTTTCTTTTCTTATTCAATCTATCTCTTTTTTTTCATTTCTTTAACTAAATAATTATTTTAGTTTTTGAAATATTTCCTATAAAATGAAATTAAGAATTTCAACAAATTAAATTTTTAAAATGTCTTTTGGCATTTGAACTGCAATATTTCAAATAACAATTTCCTTTTCAACAAATTATTGAAATACATTAGTATTTAATATCTTTTATCGTTAACAGAATTATCACCATTAATCATCATAATCACGATCACATACATTTATTGATGACGGATACTGTAAAAGATGCATTACATGGAAGATATTTTAAATTAGGATTAGTTTTGAAGCTTCCCAACTTGCCTATTTCAGTATATATTTATTCGTGACAAAAGAACTGATAACACATTTTGCAAAAATATCTGAATGAGAAAATTAAGTTAAGCGAATGACAGTAAATAGTTGGGAAGAGGCAATGAGAGAAAAAGATAAAAAAAAAACGGAGGGTAGAAGAAGGAGAAAGAAGTGAAAATTATTTTCAATTCCAAGTTAGCTTGAAATATCATTGGGTAAGATATCTCGAAGGATCGAGAAACCTCAGAAATTTCAATTCTACCGTACATTTGTATCTCTTCATCCTTTCTACAATTTCTTTTATTTTTTGTCCTGCTTTTTAAAGTGACTTGTTTCTGCTAAGACATTTATTTAACTATCTGAACTCTCAAAATTTGCATATTAAATTTTCTAACTGATCCTACTTTTTCGAACTTACTGAATTTGAAGATTGTTTATCACTATTATTATAATCATTATTATTATTAATATTATTACCATTATTGTTATTATTATTATTATGATCACTATTATTATCATTATTACTACTACTATTATTATTATTATCATTATTATTATTATTATTATTATTATTATTATTATTATTATTATTATTATTATTATTATTATTATTATTATTATTATTATTATTATTATTATTATTATTATTAT